AATTCTGCTATATAATTTGAACTGAGTGTTTGAGCCTCCACCCACAGATGGTGGTGCTGGAGAAATTATTCATGAACTTGTATGTACCTGTTTGCCATTTCGAAACAATTTACTCTTTGTAACAAAATGGAGGTATTATTAGAGATCAAAATTATCCCAAATTAATGCCAGCTTGGCTCATGTTGAGAATTTCAAGCGTTATATTCAATTTAATTGAGAAGGAGACGAACGTTATTTCAAATTTCAAATTAATTGTATTTATATTTCAAGTTTTTTTATTTTTTTGGTCCTATTTCATCATTTTAACCATGGTCAATGTCTTTCCTTGTAATATATGTGAGAAACCCGTAAAGTGTAATCAAAAAGCGCTACTTTGTACTAAATGTAACCAATGGATACATATTTCATGTGGAGATGTATCTTCCAAACAATATGATGATAAAACTGAACAGTTTCACAATTGGCAATGTACCAAATGTATTTTCCTAGAAATGCCGCTTTGGAATATTGAGGATATAGTAAAAGATAGAAATGTGAGCTTGAACCATACAAATTCTGTTGATATAGACATTGACTTAAGTACGAATACCTGTACCTCTATAAATGACTTTCCAAAGGGTAAAGGATTGAAAATTGCACATTTAAATATTCGTAGTCTAAGAAATAAGGTGGATGATCTGCAATTATATTTGAAAGAAAATCCGTACGAAATTCTGACCTTGTCAGAAACATGGCTAAGTGAAAACATTTGTAATTCATTGTTACAAATTGATGGGTATCATTTTGAAAGACTAGATAGAGACGAAAAGGGAGGAGGAGTTGGATGTTTTATACAAAAAAATATATCATATATTAGACGACCTGATCTTGAAGACCGTGAGTTAGAAATTATGTGGCTAGAGATAAGACTACACAATCACAAACCAAAGTATTTTGGAGTTGTATATCGTCCACCTAACAGTAGAAGTGCTTTTTTCAATAACCTAGAAATTAATTTAGAAAATATATGTATGTTATCAAATGATATTGTAATATTAGGTGATTTAAATTGTAATATGGTAACTCAGAATAATCTTTCAAAGCAGATACATGATCTGAGTGACAATATGCATTTGTCTCAGCTGATAAGGACCCCGACACGTATAACCGTTAATAGTACAACCCTTATTGATCTAATTCTTGTGTTTAATAATAATAATTAAATTAAATTAATAATTTGAAATCACTGGAGAGTGGCACACGGTCTATCGGTCTAAGTGATCATTTATTGATATACCTTGTATTGAAAGAAAAACCACCGCCCTCTATATGTTCTGTGAGTACCTACCGTTCATTTAGAAACTTTAATGAAAATTCTTTCAAAAATGATGTTAAAGATATAAACTGGGATAATTTGTACTTAAACAATCACAATGTTGAGAATATGTGGAATATTTTCAAATGTAAATTCAAAGACATTTGTGATCTTCATGCACCGTATGTCACAGTAAGAAAACGTTCTAGGGGGTCACCTTGGATTACCAACGAATATTTATGTATCGCAAGAGATAGGAATTATTTTAAATGCAAATTTGATAAACACAGAACTACAGACTACTGGGAAAAGTTTAAAGAATTCAGAAATAGGGCAAATGTACTGAACAAGAAGTTAAAGAAACAATATTATAAGAATCTTTGCATTGAAAATGGTAATGATATGAAAAAATCCTGGAAAGTACTCAAAGACTTACTCCCAAAGAAAGATGCCAATTCTGATCATAAAATTCTTGTAAATGACCAAATTGTAGTAGACAAAGAAAAAGTAGCAGAATTGTTTAATGAAAGTTTCAACAATATTCAAAGCCAACTAACAGGAGCGAATGATTCTCATCTCAATATAAATGCAATGCAAACATTACCGCAAACAGCACATGAATTCAAATTTACAGAGATCGAGGAATGTTTTGTATTAAAAGAACTACTCAAGCTTGATGTTTCAAAAGCAGTTGGTATTGATGATCTTCCTCCAAAGCTACTTAAAATAGCTGCCCCACATATTGTTAGAGTCTTAACAGTATTGTTCAATTGTTCATTGTCAAAAGGGTACGTTCCTCATGACTTTAAAGTTGCTAAAATAACCCCTATTCATAAAGGTGGAAACAAAATGGAATTAACTAACTACCGACCTATTTCCATTCTCCCCACAATGTCAAAGATATTTGAAAAAGCAGTGCACAATCAGATATACTCTTACTTAAACAAACATTCTTTGTTAAGTGAACGGCAATCAGGTTTTAGACCAGGGCATTCAACTCTAACATGCTTGACTGAAATAGTCGAAGGTATACTTGACAATATGGACAAAGGTCTGGTCACTGGAGCCATTTTTCTTGACCTGAAAAAGGCGTTCGACGTTATACCACATCCATTGATTATTAAGAAAATGTTATTGTATGGTATTGGGGGAGTTGAACTTGAGTGGTTCGAATCCTATCTATCTAATAGGCAACAATGTGTATTCTTGCAAGGGACTAAGAGTAATTTTCTAACTGTGAAATCAGGTATTCCACAAGGATCAATACTGGGGCCATTAATTTTCTGCCTCTATGTGAATGATATTTGTAACCTGCAACTCCATTCTAAGACAAAGATTTCCTTATATGCAGATGACACGGCAGTATTTCACCATGGAAAGGATTATAAAGTTTGTGAATACAATCTCCAAAAAGATTTTACCCGTATCTTGAAATGGCTAAAATACAATGGACTGTTTTTAAATACAAATAAAACCAAAACAATACTATTTGGTTCCAAAAGAAAAATTCAAAATAATCGAAAGTATGAAATATCTAGGTGTAACACTAGACAAAAGCTTAACATGGTCGTTACATGTAAAAGAAGTTGTTAAGAAAGTATCGGGTACGATTGCCTGCATTAGACGTATACGCAATTATATTTCCCGTAAGAATCTTATTACATGATACTATTCTCTTATCCTACCGCATTTAAACTACTGTAATTCAGTATGGGGAAATACTTCGAAACAAAATCTAACAAAGTTGCAAAAATTACAAAATAGATATGCACGATTAGTTCTTCGTGCCGAATATTTTACACCCCAAAATGTTTTAATGAGTAAATTGAAATGGCGGTCATTAGAGGAAAGAATTAAATATCAGAAATGCATCTTGATTTTTAAAATCATAAACGACCTATCACCACTATATCTTAATCCATGTATAAGTAAAAGACCGATATTATATTCTACTCGTTATGCTTTAAACAGTCCATTATTCATTCCAAAGTGTAAAACAAATTTTAAAACGAAAACCTTAGCGGTTTCAGGAGCTAAAATATACAATAAATTACCCTATCATATTAAAAATTGTAAGTCGCTGCAAAGTTTTAAAAAGAATGTCAAAACCTTTCAGTTTCCCTTGTAAACATATTTTCACGTTAATTTGACCTTTATTTATTACATTTCATTCATCTAGTTTTTTCAATTTGATAGTTGTAATTTTTTTCTTTATAATTTATTGTTAATGCGTGTTTTTCGTTACCCATGTTTAATTATTGTACAAGTATGTATGTTTTGAATTCATGTTATTATTGTACATGTTTTTTTTTATGTGAATACAGGGCTCTCTGGGAGAGCAGGCTCAGAAATGAACTTGAATGAGACCACCCTGTTAAAATAAAACTATAATAAAAAATAAAAAAAATAAATAAATCTCTCTCTCATTTGTTGGCGGGGGTGGTTGGGGGGGGGGGGGGCAATGCACGCTCGGCCCCCTGGACCCGCGCCTGTATTTCAGGCATTTCTTGAGCGTTTTAAAATAAACCACGTCCGCCTTTTAATGTCAGCTAGTGCTTTGAATCATACCTCAGCCTGTTTTAAAATATTACAAGAACTTTAATGGTGAAAATTAATATTTGTTTATATTTTCTCTTCATGTGTAGCCTGATTTCCCAGGCAATACCTACTTTGCATTCATGCATTATAAAGATAAGACGATAGAAGTAAAGCAACATAGCATATGGAAGACAGAATTATCTGGAGGCCGCCAAATGATATAGCTACCTTTCCTTATGTAATGCTGTAGATAGAAAGAGGAAACGATAGAAATATAAAAACAAAGAATAACATAATGAGAGATAGGAAAATAAGATAGAAGGATAAAAACATAAAACAATAAAAGGAAAGATAGAAAGAACAGAAGATAGAAGGGAAGACAAAGAATTAAAAAAATGAAGATAGATAGAGGAAATGATAGAAGGATACAAGCAAAGAGTAACATACGGAAAAGTAGAAAGAGAAAAAGAAGACGAAAGACACCATTATGATCTTTAACGAAACGGAGTTAACTTTTGTCAACTCTGTTCGTTGGTACGGCAGGCAGCCAGTGAAAACGAATTCGTTTAATCAAATTATGAAAATGCAATCATTACTTTAAACAAACAGAACTTTGTTATTCCTGGTTCATTTTTCCTAATTGAGGCGTCATATAAAAGGGCAGAAAATTAACTTTCTAGAAATATGATTTTCTGTTAACCCATCTTTATCACATATCAAAGCAAGCTCCTTTGGAGGGAGGTGGGGAGGGGGGGGGGGGGGGTTACGTCACCTTATAGCTACAGCACTGGTTATGAACGAGGCCTCAATGAGATATTTTCCCGCCATGTACTTTTTATTCCGCGCAAATCTGAAACCAGGTATATTTTAGGCCCCCAAAATACAGAGAAATGGCAAGGCTATTATAGTGCTGTATTGTTGCAATACATTATACAGTAACGTAGTCAGACTTGTGAAGCCGAATATGGATATGAATGCAAAGTCCAATTTATAGAATGCTTTCACATAATCACGCTTGATTGCTTCTTCAGAATAGACCAAATGTCATCGCTACTAAAGGGTACGGCCTTATATACACAGTAGTTCAGTGTCAACAAGCAACATTGTGTTTTGAGAGCACGGAAATATCATTATCAGAAAAACGTTGTGGGTGTGAATTGCGGTTAACATGGCGCTGTTTTCAGCAGCAGCAAAAGGAGACTTCCTGAAGATACAATCATTAATTGACTCGGAGGACAGATCAGAGGGTTCGGGAGGAGTTGATGTAAACTGCTCGGATGTATCTGGCAAGACGGCCCTCCACATTGCTTCGGAAAACGGACATTTGCAAACGGTTAAATGCCTTACCAATCATGGAGCAAAGGTGAATGCGGTCGATGCTAAACTACAGACATCGGTTCATTTATGCTCAAAAAAGGGCCATATTCGTGCGGTAGAGCTGTTAGTGAACGAAGGAGCAGATATTGATGTTGGTGACACAGATGGGTTTACAGCTCTTCACATAGCATCATTGGAGGGTCATCTTGATATTGTCAAATACCTTGTTAGTAAAGGGGCAGACCTGGAGAGACTTGCTATTGATTACTGGACACCTCTACTCATTGCTTTAGACGGTGGCCATCTTGACATTGCAGAGTACCTGTTGACAGAAGGAGCAAGCATTAACACATGTGTTAAAGGTGGATATACAGCTCTACATATTGCTTCAAAAACTGGTAATATTGATGGGGTGAAATATCTAACCAGTCAAGGAGCAGAGCTGGATAGGAGTACTGGCGATGGTTGGACCGCACTTAGTTTGGCTTCATTTGGGGGACGCCTTGACATTGTCAAAGTTCTTGTTAACGAAGGGGCACAGCTTGACAAATGTGACGGTACCGACAGGACACCCTTGTCCTGTGCTTCTCAAGAAGGTCATCTTGAAGTCGTCGAGTATATCGTGAACAAAGGAGCAGGCATTGAAATTGGTGATAAAGATGGGCTAACGGCTCTTCACATAGCATCATTAGCGGGTCATCTTGACATCGTCGAATATCTTGTTAGGAAAGGAGCACATCTTGACAAATGTGACAAACATGACAGGACACCCTTGTCTTATGCTTCTCAAGAAGGCCATCTTGAAGTCGTCGAGTATATCGTGAACAAAGGAGCAGACATTGAATTTGGTGATGAAGATGGGTTAACAACTCTCCATAGAGCATCAATGAAGGGTCATCTTGATATTGTCAAATACCTTACTAGTAAAGGGGCACAGCTTAACAAATGTGACAAAAATGACAGGACACCCTTGTCTTATGCTTCTCAAGAAGGCCATCTTGAAGTCGTCGAGTATGTCGTGAACAGTGGAGCATGCTTTGATATTGGTGATAAAGATGGGTTTACAAATCTTCACAGAGCATCATTCCAGGGTCATCTTGACATTGTCGAATACCTTGTAAGGAAAGGGGCGCAGCTTGACAAATGTAACAAAACCTACAGGACACCCTTGTATTGTGCTTCTCAAAGAGGCCATCTTGAAGTCGTCGAGTATATCGTGAACAAAGGAGCAGACATTGAAATTGGTGATGAAGATGGGTTTACACCTCTTCACAGAGCATCATGGGAGGGTCATCTCGATATTGTCAAATACCTCGTTAGTAAAGGGGCAGCGCTGGAGAGAATAGCTAATGATTACTGGACACCTCTACTCCTGGCTTTAGACGGTGGTCATCTTGACATTGCAGAGTACCTTTTGACGGAAGGAGCCAATATTAACACGTGTGGTAAAGCTGGATGTACAGCACTACATAATGCATCACAAACTGGTAATATTGATGGGCTGAAATTTCTAACCAGTCAAGGAGCAGAGCTGGATAGGAGCACTGACGATGGTTGGACCGCACTTAGTTTGGCTTCCTTTGGGGGACACCTTGACATTGTCAAAGTTCTCGTTAACGAAGGGGTAGAGGTTGACAAAGCACTCAGAAGCGGGATGACACCCTTGTGTCTTGCAACAAAAAGAGGCCATCTGGGTATTGTCGAGGTCTTACTAAACGTAGGAGCAAGTGTTGATAACTGTAATCGAGACGGGTTAACAGCACTCCACATTGCATCGTCCAATGGACACGTTGAAATAGTTCATCATCTTGTTAGGAAAGAGGCCCAGCTTGACAAACGTGACAAAACCGACAAGACACCCTTGTATTGTGCTTCTCAAAGAGGCCATTTTGAAGTCGTCGAGTATATTGTGGACAAAGGAGCATGCATTGATATTGGTGATAAAGATGGGTTAACAGCTCTTCACAGGGCATCATTGGAGGGTCATCTTGACATTGTCGAATACCTTGTTAGGAAAGGAGCACAGCTTGACAAATGTGACAAACACGACAGGACACCCTTGTTTTCGGCTTCTCAAGAAGGCCATCTTGAAGTCGTCGAGTATATCGTGAACAAAGGAGCAGGCATTGATATTGGTGGTGAAGATGGGTTTACAGCTCTTCACAGAGCATCATTGAAGGGTCATCTTGATATTGTCAAATCCCTTGTTAGGAAAGGGGCAGCGCTGGAGAGAATAGCTAATGATTACTGGACACCTCTACTCCTGGCTTTAGACGGTGGTCATCTTGACATTGCAGAGTACCTTTTGACGGAAGGAGCCAATATTAACACGTGTGGTAAAGCTGGATGTACAGCACTACATAATGCATCACAAACTGGTAATATTGATGCGCTGAAATTTCTAACCAGTCAAGGAGCAGAGCTGGATAGGAGCACTGACGATGGTTGGACCGCACTTAGTTTGGCTTCCTTTGGGGGACACCTTGACATTGTCAAAGTTCTCGTTAACGAAGGGGTAGAGGTTGACAAAGCACTCAGGAGCGGGATGACACCCTTGTGTCTTGCAACAAAAAGAGGCCATCTAGGTATTGTCGAGGTCTTACTAAACGTAGGAGCAAGTGTTGATAACTGTAATCAAGACGGGTTAACAGCACTCCACATCGCCTCGTCCAATGGGCACGTTGAAATAGTTCATCATCTTGTTAGGAAAGGGGCCCAGCTTGACAAATGCGACAAAACCGACAAGACACCCTTGTATTGTGCTTCTCAAAAAGGCCATCTTGAAGTCGTCGAGTATATTGTGGACAAAGGAGCGGGCATTGAAAAGGGTGATAAAGATGGGTTTACAGCTCTTCACATTGCATCATTCAGGGGTCATCTTGATATTGTCAAATACCTTACGAGTAAAGGGGCACAGCTTGACAAACGTGACAAAAACGACAAGACACCCTTGTATTGTGCTTCTCAAAAAGGCCATCTTGAAGTCGTCGAGTATATTGTGGACAAAGGAGCGGGCATTGAAAAGGGTGATAAAGATGGGTTTACAGCTCTTCACATTGCATCATTCAGGGGTCATCTTGATATTGTCAAATACCTTACGAGTAAAGGGGCACAGCTTGACAAACGTGACAAAAACGACAAGACACCCTTGTATTGTGCTTCTCAAAAAGGCCATCTTGAAGTCGTCGAGTATATTGTGGACAAAGGAGCGGGCATTGAAAAGGGTGATAAAGATGGGTTTACAGCTCTTCACATTGCATCATTCAGGGGTCATCTTGATATTGTCAAATACCTTACGAGTAAAGGGGCACAGCTTGACAAACGTGACAAAAACGACAAGACACCCTTGTATTGTGCTTCTCAAAAAGGCCATCTTGAAGTCGTCGAGTATATTGTGGACAAAGGAGCGGGCATTGAAAAGGGTGATAAAGATGGGTTTACAGCTCTTCACATTGCATCATTCAGGGGTCATCTTGATATTGTCAAATACCTTACTAGTAAAGGGGCACAGCTTGATAAATGTGACAAAGACGTCGGGACACTGTCACACCTTGCTCTTAACCATCTAGGTATACATGACTATCATTTGAATAGAGAAGCAACAAAGATCGTTAAGCCATTCATTGGGTTTGAAGAGGACCACTATGACTACCTTCGCAGTACTTTTGGTGGTGCTGCTTTCCCTAGCTATATGCCCCAATCCTCGCGACCATACGATCCATATCTTACCCGTCCACGAGACAGCTCTATCTCCTCGAGAAAGAGCATCAAAGAAAAGACAATGATTATAAGTCTCGACGAGTACAGCATCAAGGTTCTACTTTCACCCGAAGATCTGGACAAAGCCACATATATCACAGCAGAAGCATTGCCAAGTATTCCACCTGACTTAAACCTGGAAAAAGATGAAGTTGTCATCTCAGTTGGGCTTAAGCTTTCCCCTCCTGGTCTTCAGTTTAAAACTCCGGTGGAAGTCACGGTCTCACATAGCGCTATTTTCACCAACCCAGACAAGGCAGAAATTGTGCTATACACCCGAAGGACTGGTAAGATCTTCCTATTACCATAGATCCCATATTCCCATATCAATTCCTTTCCCTTCCGTTCCTTTTATTTCCCTCTCTTTGTCGAATCTTCTTTAATTCGCTTTTATATTTATATTGAATTAAAGACGTTATGAATAACGGACAAACATCACAAAGTTTAACACCAATTTCTCAATTCTGCATAAGAATTCATCATCACTTTAGAACCGGCAGTCATACAGTTTTGACTTTACAGGTCACAAAATTTTGTTCTTACATCATCACCGACCATGTCAGGATCATCATCATAATCATAACTATCATCCCCTTAACATTTCTTCCACAAAATGAGAGAAGAAAAAAAAAACATTGCCAGGATCAACCTTTTTTGATTAACCTTTCTTAAACTTCATTATCAACATGATTTGATAATCATCTTTTCAAATGGAACATAAAATTATGATGAAATCAACAAATGGGGCTGGCTAGGATTAGGAAGCTAAGGAGAAACTATGTTGAATATGGACTTGGATCACTGTGACTCAACGCTCAGTCAGAGTCCTCATGCCACTACTGCAATAGTGGATTAAAACCAAGTATAGACATTTTCCATGCTATCCAATGAGCATGGCATAATTCATAATTGCGCATTAGGTTAGAGGTTTATAACATGAACAGTTGGGTGTAGAGTGTATTCAATCGGTTAATATTCTGTGGTTAAACAAAAGAAATGAGGATGGGATAGGGGAAAATTTGATGTCAGAGTGCAGATAGCCCCTGACTGCCACGACGAACCCATCACAATTATGACAGAGATCCTTCACACAAAATACATCTTTTCTTACTATTCTTGGTATCATATTATGGCCTCACTTCGATATTAATGTTCATCTGAGAATTTTCTACTTCACTGAGTTTTACTTGATAAACTTATATTGGAATAAAAATTCACTTAAAAGCAAAAGTTTCGTCTTTGTGTTTGAATAACGCATACATCGCATAGTTCATAGAGCCGCCATTTTTCAGATTCTTGTGGAAAGATCGTGGGGAATTGTGGGAATGAAAAAAGTGTTATGCATGATGTAATACTTTAAACAATTTGTTAATAGCCAATCACCAAACAGCAATTGACATTTTTGTGTACGAAATTGCTCACGAATAAACAATGTCCCCTTATTAAAGAAACCTACCTTACCAAAAAATTACCTTATTTTTGTTTTTGTGAAAGTAAATCCCAGAGCATTGACAGCTTACTGCGTTACACAATTAACACGGTCCCCTCTGTTTGTGTCTTGTCGAAAGGATCTGATGAATTTTCAAGGATAGTTCCTGCTTCTGACAAAGCTGCTCGGTGTGTAGTCGCAAAGAATCACCTTACTCTGTACATAGACCATTTCTCAGAATGGTGGATTATCTCCTTAATCAGGAGATACTTCATCGGTAAGCGGCTCATCTGTACGCCATACGCTCCCCTGTCAACATCTAGAGACATCATGAACAGCATCTTGCTCATCATTAAAGACGACTTCTGTGGAGTGAAAGAGGTAGTTTTATTATGAATTATTAGTTGGTTAAATTTCTGGTGCCTGTTATGGGTAATGACCTTTTTTCCTTCTCATTTCTCTAGAGTCAGATCGCGTACGTCATCCTTTGCTGCAAACGGACAATTGCATGAATCGATTTTGTCAGTCTGCAACCGATTTTTGTCAAAGCATCATTTAAATGCATACCTCGTCTGTTATAAGGTCTTGTCTATGCGACACATTTGAATGAAATTATTTGGAATTGATTACACAAAGACGAACTTAGACCGTACTGTGAGACGAGTTCGAATGAAGTCTGACAATAATAAATGGACAAGCGTTGATATTGATCGAATTTGGATTAAATAAACATTAAAATGGACAGGAATCCTAAATAATAGCAAGTTCATACAACTAACACTGTATATGTGTTTGTTTATCAAACACTGGTATTGGGACAAAAAGTTTAATACCATAGTTATTGATATAACTTGTGTATGTCCCCGGTCTTCCAGTGGTTCCAATGTCAATACTTGATTGTGTAACGTTATCTGAGTAGGGGGTCCGTGCACGGAGGGGTAGGGGGTGTGGGGGTGGGGGTGTGAGGGAGGGGTCATAACCAATTAACAAAATCACAGCTTTAATAATTCTACCCTGATAACCGTTTCACATCTTGAAGTAATAATCATCACCCGTTTTTGTGGAGGTGTTGTGGTATAGTCGTTCATTCACTTCACTCTGAATCCAAGGGTTGAGGGTTCGAATGCTTGCCCGGTGCTAACGTTCTTTGGCAAGACATTAATCCGTATTTGCCACCCATGTGTATCTGAGTACCTTGTAATTGCTGGAGTATATTACAGTGCCATCTCAAAAGACAGCATAAGTGCAATTATTGAAATTATTATTATCATTCTGCCAATATTGTTCATAAATGTTCAACCTTTTGCAGGATATCATACCAGACTTCAAGGTAGCCTTTCAAAGTGGGCAGTACTGCGTATATTGGGGACACGGACCCCTACTAGTCAGACATCTGGAAAACAAAGACGAAGTTTCGACACTGGTAAGAATCTTAGCATAAATAATATGTGGTGTTCCGCAGGGAACAGAATTAGGCCCGTTGATGTTCCTAGCTCTGGTGAATAATGCCGCACATGATATCGAGCATCATTTGAAATATGTTTACGACCTAAGCCTTCTCGAGATTCGCACAAAATCGGCATCTCCGAAACTACAGGACCATCGTGACGAATTAGAAAATTGGAGTAAAGACAATGACATGAAATTCAATACCGCGTACAGCAATGCCATGACTGTGAACCTCATGGGACGTTTCATCAAAACTCCATGTTTGCGTCTCAATGATGAGCCTCTGAAAATAACGTAATTTTAAAATTTGCCCGATCGATATTTCGTTCCGTTGGGTGGGGGGGGGGGGGGAGGGGGGGGGGGGGGGGAGGGGGAGGGGGGAGGGGGAGGGGGGGGGAGGGGGAGGGGGGAGGGGGGGGGGTAAGGTCACTTTTTTGGGGGTAATGAGGGGGAGGAGGGTTCTTCAAAACACACCAACAAAAATTGAGGGTGGTTCGACCCCCCCCCCAAAAAAACCACCCCCTGCGTACGCGCCCGCATGGGCCATAATTCATGGTGTCAGTTTTAGATCAGAATGAATCATGGAGTAGTTCTTATAACTTCATAGGTTGTTATTTGATGGTATTTCTGATTTCCCTAGGAACTTGAAGAATGTGCTTTCTTTGACATGAACACCCACATGATGCCGTTCATTCTTCAGCCACGTGAAAAAACAGTTCCCGGAGTTCTCGTCACTCTCATCTTGAAGCAAAAAATCACGAAGCATATCGCCTTCCAAGTACTATACAACGGTTAGTTTAAGGGCATGATTTCTTTGGGGGACGGTGTGTTAAAAGTGGCCTAAAGACTTTCACTATCAGTGGTGGCAGAGAAAATCTTATTTTTTGCAGTTTCAGGATTGGTTAGTTGCCTGAGCTTCGGACAAGCTGTTACACATCAGATTTAACAATTACATTCCACAAACATGCTTTCCTTCTTTTCGGGCGTTTTTAACGTCTTGTGTGATAAAGACATGAGATTATACGAATTTTTTAAACCCCTTTTTTTTTATTGATTCTGGACATAATGCTCCCGAAAACAATTTTTTTTTTTTTTACTAATGTTGACGATCTTGGTATAATTTTTCATGTGAAAATATTATACTACTGCTGGTACAAGTGAATTTGACCTAACATCATTTGACCACCCTGTTTATGTATATACATATAAATAATAATTAGACAATTGGGATAAAAATGAAACCGGTCATAGTGAAGGAGAGAACTCTAAAGACTTTAATTTCAATCGTTTTAATTATTATTTCTATATCGCCGTGAGGGAGGATTATCAACACGAATTATTTGTTCCCTATATACATACATGTATATTATATTATATTATATAGGCCTACACATTATTTTTACGTGCAATCATTTAGTGTAGCAAAACCACCATGGCAAGTGACTCAAATTTGGAAAAGTTATCATTTTAGGCTAATCACTTCTCATCACGTTGATATCATATATTCACAATTTAGATGTGCCCCATGTGAATCCAATAGCCCAATCAAAGCCGATGGGATCTGCATCGTCCAAAGGCAAAGCTGAACCAACTGATGTTGGACGAGGAACATCCAAATGTAAGATTTAAAAATAATATATATATTAATACTATTTTTCCTTTCGGTATGCAGGGCATCGTATCACCGTCATGGGTACAAATGTAAAACGTGTGTACAAATTAACACGCATTCAATGGGATGTCGACGAGCTTGATATATGAAACAATTTTCTTATTGTAAAGTGACGATTTGAAGAAAGTCGAACAAATTTACATTATATGTGTGCAATTGAGACTTGATTCTGATTTGATTTTCATTGATTATTGCATTTTCAGCATCTCAGTTCTCCGAAGAGCTGACGAGAAGCGAGCATCATCTTGAAACGATAGTTCCAACATCACCTGAGCCTGCAGACACAAAGGGTAAGACTATATCAGGAGCGGTTCTGGAGGAATACATGTATAAATATTGTGTTATTTTTTGGTTGGCGCAGGGCGATGCAGTGATGAGGTCTTCTAGCAATCGTTTTCTACATAATGTGCTTTTTGGGGGGAGGAGGAGAGAGAGGGGGGGGGGGGGGGACTAGAACTGCTACTGCGGACTATGTTCTTGTAATTGGCCTTCGTTCTAAATATCATGTAATGTATTATCAATGTATTTTTTATACCGTATAATATTTAACAACTCTTCGCTACATGTTCCATGATTTTATCTCAAACATGTCAATAAAGCAAAGTAATACAATATACTTCGACGGTCGACATGCAATAGATAACGGATCAGTCATAATTCTTTACAGAACAGGTCGGAGTTTGGTTTAATCATTTTCTAAAAGTTTTTTTTTTTTTTTACGTTGCTTTATTTCAGACGGAAGTCATACTGATGTCCTTACAATACCTAGGCCATTGACTCCACCATCGACAGAGTCACCGTCATGTGAACATGCCTACCAAGTCATAGATGATTTGGTAACGGAGACAGTAGCAATTGGTAAGGAGCTGAGAGATAAAGTCGTGTTCTGGGCTCTGTAACATTAAAAAAAAAATCAATTTGATCTCCCCCAAAAATAATCTTATCTCCTCAATCAATCGTAACTTTAAGGTGAGTAGTTACTGACATTTAATTTTATGTTACAGATAGTAAAGAACGAAATACTTTGGCAAAACATTAATATATATATATATATTATGCTACACTCAATCCATGTGTAATACGTGGGCAGGCTACCTTAAACGGTTGCTGGAACTTAACCGGGGTAATAATATCTAAAGTCCTGTCGAAGCACATATTATGTATTGTGATATACGCTTATTTCCTTTACATGCTCTTTGTAAATATGAACGATGTAATAATTTTGTTCATTTTGATTTAAGCTCCATCGACATCATCGACAGTGCCCGTCCGTTCATTAGAGTCTGTAGCAGAGGGGACAATGGGAGACTTAGCCCCACCACCAATTGTGACAAACATTGTCCAAGAATTCATTCCAGGACTTTTAGGAGATCGAATTATGAACCAGCGTTCTGGGAACGTCTATATCAACGTCCAAGAGATGGTCATCCACAATCCGCAAGGGAATAATCCTCAAGGAAATAATCCCCAAGGAAATACTGTTGCCCCTACCCCTGTTGCTATTGCTTCCATAGTACCTCCTATGCTACAGCATGAACTGCGTTGTCGGTTGAACAGAGAAAGCCCAGTTTACGATGACTGGAGGGGTCTTGCCAATCAGCTTGGACTTCAAGACTACATACAATCACTCGAGCAGTGCAAGAATCCGACTGAAGAACTACTCGTACTTGCTGAGAGTCAAAAGAAGATTCAGAACCTTGGGGACTTGGCCAAGGCGTTCGAACGCATGAATCGTGGGGATTGCCAAGAGATCTGCGAGAACTATGCGTTTGAGGGAACAAAGTCAGCTGGTCCTCGGAAGGATCAAATGGAAGATGATGACACAGACAGTAGTGATTACTAGTAGGGAACAGGCTCAATCTGTTCCATATCAATGATGGGCCTCTGAAAAAAAACGGAATCCCAGAAAATACTGGGCGTGCACTTAAAATCCGATCTCAAGTGGGACATTAATTATAACTGTGATTAAGTTATGATAAAACATCGATAATTCTCAGTTTCGTTTTTTCTGGGACGCACTGTATATTCGCTGCATACAGGAACGAAGTGAGATTCTCTCTAGGTATATTCATCGATTTTAAGAAAGTAATTTTGACACCATTAATCTTAATATACTACTATCTCTAATCTCTCTCATCATGGCATTCGAGTTTAACCTTTTGCATGGTTTAAGGACTATCTTAGTAACAGACCCAGATTGTTCAATGTGGTCTAACGTTATCTATAAGGAATAATATAAGATGTGGTGTTCAACAAGGATTAGTACTAGGGCCAACTCTGTTTTTATCTAAATAAATGATCTACCATCAGTAACTGATTGTTTCGATTTGCGGCTGTTTTCCGATGATTCTAACATAGTTCATACTTTTCCAGCTGATCAGGGCAAAATTAATATGGATGAAGTTTTTTACAACACACAGAAAAATTGGTGCATTACAGGTAATTATCAGTATGTTATATGTCATGTATTTCAGCAATATAATTATGTGCAATATTAACTGTCATGATGATTGGCACAGCAGGTTCTTTCATTCATTAATATTTTGATATTGCATGTACTGTTATCCTTCCTCTCACTCTCCAATCCCTTTTCTCTATTTGAACTTGCTACTTTTCAAATTTCCTTTTCTGTTCTTCAGTTTTAGTCTTTCCTCTCTATTTCTATTTCACTCCCTCCCCTCTCTCTCAGCTCTCTATCTGTTTTTTTTTTCTCTCTCTCTCTCTGCCTCTTCCTCTTTCTCCCTTCGTCTCTCCTTCCTCCTCTCTGTTTCTCTCTCTCTCTCACTTTCTGTCTCTCCCTCCTCCTCTCCACCTCTTTCTCTTCTGATGATGTTTTACAGTGCAGCATTGTTTAATTATCTGCTATTCTTACTGTGACCAATAATACCTAAGGACTTTCATTTTTTTCATGTGCAATATGTTTATACATCATGTCCCACTTGTGATTAGCACACAGCCAAACCTCCATTCTTAATACTTGTTAGTACTCTTTGATATTCATTATACCTTCTGAATGGAATTTGTATTGCATTTTATCGCAGTTGTTCCTATGTTACAGTTAATTGAATACACGTATCTGGATACATTGTATTTGTTTTGATGTAAACATTTATTCATTTTTATATATTTGTTTTCATTTGTTATGTTTTCTTTATATATATATATATATGTTTTTTTAATGCAATGCAATGTTTTTTTTTTAAATGATTGTATGTTTAATGTAAACTTGCAATTTTAGTCTTTGGACTTTTTGACAAGTCTTGAATAAAACCTCATTTGAATTGAATTGAATTGAATATTGCTAACAACTAATTCAATGAAAACCTATTTCATGTTGAAAAATAGGAGTAACAAAAAAGTATTAAATGGTAAACTGGAAACAGTTGGAGAGGAAGTCAAAGAGGTTGATGTTGCCACTTATGATAGACATCTGTCATGTAATAGTCATATTCGTTATGTAAATCAGTGTGTTAGGAAGGAAGATAGAGTGTTTTTTTGTTTAGATTGCGACATTTTGTTCCTAGGCATACTCGACATTATCATATAAAACGTGGATAAAACCACACATAACCTGCGGAATATAGGTGTGGGGACGCAATAATAAGGAAGCATAATTATTGTATTCACAGAAAATTGCAGTTTGTGTTTTTTATTTTGCATTTAGAGATGGGAGAACTCCTACAGCTCCAATACTTAAAAGATTGCGAATCCTAACTTTGTATAATTAGGATGATTCATCAATCTCTAACTTCATGTCTGATCTGTTTAATAAACATTTGCCTCATTGCCTTGATAGATTATTGTGCCATTCTAGAGTATAGCTACTCTACAAGGCAAACTGAAGGTGGACAGTTACGTCTCCCATAATGTAGAACGACACGAGGTCGATTTTGATTGTCTTTTGAATTTTGTAATATAGATTACCTATTAATGTCAGAGTCTGTAACCACACATGTGTTAAACGAATCATGAATTAAAAATCCATGCAAATAGTCTGTATTTGTACGATATTTCATATTATAAGTTTGTATCTTGTAAGACATTGATAAACTGTAGTCTATTTTATAATATCGATTGTAATGGTAAATTTTTTTTTCTCCTGAAGGTTACTTGTACAAAATACATTATTTAGCTGTAAGGCGTAAGGATCGACTAGCACATACATTGTATGCTATTATCTGGCCCCTTTTACCAACCAATACTTTATCTTCTTAACATGTAAATATGGTGGTATGAAATGCATGGCTATTATTTTCTGTTGATAAAATAAAGTTGATGTGTTTTTATGTTACATATTGTATATCTTGTTTTCTTAAAGGGTTGTCCTCTTACAAGGTTTGTTTCCTTTTGGCCACTGCCTTCCTCACTTTTTATAATCCTTTGTCATGTATTGTCATCCATTTGTCTGTTTATATATGTATTTTTATCTGTTGATCTCTTGAGGAGAAATAAATGAAACTGAACCAAATAAACAATTCTAATACAAAATCTATACATCAACAGGATTGTAGCTATAAAATTGATGTGCATATATATGGAAATAAATTAACATCAACTCAAATCAGTCAAATGAAATTAATTCAACTTTGAAAGTATCCAGAAGGAATTACCTTTGAAAAAAATTGCTGCTCCTTACCCAGAAAAGAATGGGGAGCTGGTACGATGATGAAAGCCTTTATGACAGCAACCTGCCATTATGCGCGCAGGGTGACAATATGATAGAATACTTCTCAGGGAGTGGAGATGGTGCACATTGTGTGCGTGAATGGATTCGATGACTGGACTAATAATTCTATAACAACAGTGCTTAGAGAAGGTATTCCGTATCAGGTACTGAATAAACCCAAATTATTCTTAATAAATTAATGTTTTATAATGCTGGAATATTAAACATACACACCAAATAGTACTAGGTTCTAACGAACCGTTCCCTCTCAGAATAGGTATCATGTTCAGTAGGTTCGTTTAACTTTCCAAGCTTTCCTTGGTGAAACAACAAACTACTGTAACAAATTACACACAAATGACACAGAGTAAATGCATTTCACTTTGTTTAATAAAACAATTATGCTTACATTACCGTAAAACAATGTAAATGAAAGGAAAATGTGCGATCCCCTGTTTATTGAACCATTACAAAATGTTCCACAAAAATAATTAGTAAAAGTTACTCGACCTAACCTATACATACAGTCTAGTTTGTAAAATATGAACAATGTAAAAGTGTTGCATTTTGATTGACTCCGTGGTAGGCAATATCTTGCTATGAGATGTGTTCCCCTTAACCCTCGCCGCGGCGGGCAAGTCTAATAGCAGGTATCGTGCTATAGTGGTTCATTCACTTGACTCTCAATCGAAAGCTTGAGGGTTCGAATCACATCCTGGCATTAACGTCCTTTGTGAAAGACATTAATCCAATTTTAACACTCTCCACCCTGGTGTTAAATGGGTACCCCGGTAGGATGCGAAAGTCATTGTAGTTTGATCAGCATTGTTAGCGTTTGTGAAATGGGACTTGGCTGGAACTCTCCACAGGAAGTAGGAATATGAAGCAAATGACCGGGGTAATTATATGTAGAGCGTTTATAGACATCATCGATGAGTTAAGCACTATACAGTATATATATATCCAGATAATCCAGTATATGCGAACGTGCGAACAACTTACCTAACTTAACGATGAAATGACTATGTAGATTCACATTTATTCTTCTAAAAATGTTTCATAAAACAAATGAAATATCTCATACTCGAGGTAAATCTAAATTACATCGAATTGTACAGTCATTAGATTACAATTTTATAGCAAAACATAACAATTCAAAAAGACATTTGTCTGGAATACTCAATTATGAAAGCAAATTCCAATTGTGCGATAAAAAATGGGATCGAATCAAATAAGAATTGAAAGACCTTATTAGACTTTAGACGCTTTTCAATACATGGTAATAGTATAATACCAACCATCTAACAGAGTTACGAGATGTATGCCAGCATAGACAAGACAAATTTAATATTTAAAACTGAAACAATAGCACATTAATACTTAATTGAGTCAACCTTCAGGTCGATATGCATTTGCCATCAATCACCTTTGAAAGATATAACATTTATGATTTAAATTGTCCGGTAGGATGAATCTACTTTTTCTATTTTTGATGGATTCCCTTTTTCTTTTTATTATGAGAAAAATTAACAAAAGTAGAACCTTTCCGTACATTTTGATCTAATGAAATAATGCAAATACTTCTCGCTATCGCCAATACCCCCGAATTCCCGGATGTTACATTTATGTCCCGATTTCAATTGCACTCCGGGATGCTAACTTACTTTTCCCACGAGAGTTCCGGACCCCAGTATGAACTCATTTGCATACAGCCAATCAGAAGAGTCTAGCTAACTAACTGAACCGGCAAATGCGCACATGGTAACCGTTTGGGTTAGTGCTAGGGTTTTAGTAACCATGCAAACCACCTCTTATCAACCCATTTGGGTAACATTTCCAACAAACCCTACACAGCGCGAGGCACGTAGTTGCTCAGAATTAGGCAAGACAAGTTTGAAATCACTGCATGATCACGACTATGTTCGCCGCATTTTGACAATGAGCGAATACAAAATGATGGACACGCAGTGAAGGAAGAGGACTGCAACATAGTAGCAAAGGAGTGTAAACAACAGAATGGCAAGATAAAGGTTAATCAGAAAGGTGATCAGAATAAGCATTTACTACTAACTAGCTGACTATTTCGGTCTGACGAACCTTCAGACCATTACACTTATAGAGTAGGCCCTGACAGTACATCAAATATTTCGATCTTGTCCAAAGAGTGTCCTAATCATGCTGAGAAAATAAGTAGGCTTGCGAGAGCAAATCATTTGGTCTCGTGGGTTATCGGTCTTGAAAACTCTCTGTTATATAAAGGGCTATGAAACCAAAAGAGCTGTATATAGGTCAAGAAGACTGGCGATCGAGAAGGCTAGCTGTATTCCTATATAT